GAGGGGGAGAGGCGGAGAGGTCAACAGGCGGTCCGGGAGGAGAAGGAGGAGTACGATAGGGCGGTGGAGCGTTTTTCTGCCAGGCACGGACGGGGAGGAACCGAGGAAGGGATGGAGGGGGCCAGGGGGCGAGGCGCGAGGGAAGAGGAGGGAGAGGTTGGGCAGGAGGAGAGGGGAAGAGAACTGAGGGAGGAAGAGGAGGAGGAAGGGGGGGTCGGGGGGAAGACGAGGAGGAGGAGGACGACGAGGACGAGGACGAGGACGATGATGACGTCCCTCTGGGTGTGCTTCTGAGCTCGACTCGAGGGAGGCGTCATCGGCGCTCTCTTCCATGATATCCGGGAGAAACGAGAGCCCGAGTCTTTTCGTGCCTAGGATGATGACGATAATAGGGCATTGTGCACAAAGGGAAGGAAAGGGTTTGCCGTGGTAAGGACGACGCGGGAGTGCAAGCCATGCGAATCGGAGTGCTAGCGAGGCAGCAATGCCATGGTAGTCGGTGTAATTATCAGGAAATCAACATGTATTGCGGCCTGCGTCACCGGCTCGCGAATTTTGAATATGCGACAGTTGCTTTCCCGGGCACGATTCAAAATTTGCTTTGTGTTGTGTCTACTTGTGTGGTTGCAAGGCGCCGGAATAAGCCTGTATCACGCGTGCGTCTGACACGTCGATCTAGTAACATGCTTCCATCCAAGTGCTCATCCGGAGTGCACAGTATGCCCTCTTACTCCCGCACTCATGCATCCAGCTCAGAGTTCCATCCTTATTCTCCCTGTCCTCACAATCTTAACGCTGACACCCTGCGCGCCCTGTGCAGCGAAGCACACCGATAAGCGGCTGTACAGGCATAATTTTACCATGCAGTTTTCTTTACCATGCAGTTTCCTATTACATTCTTATCATGCATCTCCCTTATTCCTTCCCCCTCCGCCTACGCTCCTACTCACCCATTGCCGCCAGTCGTGCCACCACTTCTACGAACCCGGGACGGTCCCCCGGTTCCTGCGCCCAACAGGAGCGGACCAGGGCCTTGTAATCTTCGGGACAATCTTCGGGCAATTTCGGTCTTTCTTTTCGGTTGATCACCGCGGCCACCACTTGGACAGGTTGCAGTCCTTCGTAAGGAATCGCTCGTGCGGCTATTTCCCACAGAATGATCCCAAAGCTGTACACATCCGCCTTTTCCGTGTATTGGGTAGAGTTGATCACCTCCGGCGCCATCCAATGGTAGGTGCCACACTGCATCGTCATGATGTCCGTCAAAGAATGCGGTTTGAAACGCGACAAGCCAAAATCCGTAATTTTGACCACCCATGCCCGGTTCAAGAGCACGTTCAAAGACTTTAAATCCCGGTGGATCAAAATCGGGTCCCGACTGTGCAAATATTCCATCCCTGCGGCCAATCCCTTCGCAATCGACAGTCGTCGGCTCCAAGCTATCTCCGTGTAGGGCGGCCCTTTCTCATTCACTACCATAAACAGATTTCCTCGGTGACAGAATTCCGTCAAAACTGCCACCGGATCTACACAGGTACCGACAAAGGCAATGATATTGGGATGATGCAATTCTCGCAACAATGCCACTTCCGATTCGAAGTCCCTGAGGCTCTTCTCCGCCATGGGCAGATTGTTCTGAGTGACCAATTTTTTCACCGCCACGTCCTGCCCCTGGACCGTGGCCCGATAGACAGTGGCAAAGGCCCCGTGGCCAATCACCTCCCCCCAGAGAATCTCGTCCAGAGCAATCATGGGCCCATGGGCGTGGAACGCGTGCAGGCACGAGGACAGGGCCGAGGCGACAGCTGGCTTCAAGTTCGCCCGCCACGCCTGGGTGCGCGCTTCCCGACGCCGGGCTCGGAGGAGCTTGTCCTGCTGCGGGTTCACCGGGACCGTGGGGGTGGATGAAGAGGACGGAGGAGGCGGGGCGGGGGGCGTGGCAGGCGGGTGCGGAGGAGGGGTGGGCGGGAGGAAGGTGGTCCTCGAGAGGGCAGGGCGGACATCCCACGAGAGGGATTCGAGCTCTCCTCTCTTCCCTTTGCTCTCGGCGTCTTCCTCCTTCTGTATCGGTCTCCCTTCCTTCGTGCCCGCGCCAGGCACAGGGCCACTGAAGCCGTCCCAGGCCCCGACCTCCATCTTCTCGGCCCGCCTCTCCTCGCCCTCCACTTCCCTGTCTCCTATCAGGATGGGGTCGATCCTCCCCCCCCCCAAGGCCTGTCAGGCATGACGCCGTCGCCGAGCCGAAGGCCGCCGCTCGTAGGAATCCGCTCCCATTCGTGGCACTCGCCATCCCCTCCTCCCCTTCCTCCTCCCCTTCTTCCGACGAAGACGACGACCAGGACAAGAGATCCCTCCGACTCATGTCGATCCCTCCCTCCCGCCCTCCGCCCCTCCCTCCTTTCCTCCCTCCCTCCACATCCTCTATCATCGACAGCCTGGGCGGTAGTCCCTTCATCGGCCCCCCTTGTGGCAAGCCAGAGGGCATCCCAGCACCCTCCTCCCCATCCCCCTCGGAACCCTCCCTCGACCTGATCCATACCTCCTCCCCTTCCTCCCTCCACCACCCCCTGCTTTTCCTTCTGCCGCTTACAGATCCCCACCTTCCCTCCCGTCCCCCCAAACGTCCCTTTCCGTCCTCTCCTTTGGCCTCCCCCCTTTCCTCCCCTTTCCCATCCCGAGCCCCGCCCTCAGTCCCCAACGGCCGCCGCAGGCTCTCCTCCTCCGTCACGCTCGACGGCATGAACCACACCTCTTGTTCCTTCCCTTCCTCCCCTTCCCGTGCCTCTCCACGCAAGGAGGGTGGCAAGGTTCTTGACAGTCGTGAGGAGGACAAAAGAGAGGAGGCCGAGAGAAGGGGGGGCTGGGGGGGGGCTGCACTAGAGGAGAGGAAGGTGGGTAGTGGATAGGGTGGTTTCCCTTGGTCGTCACCCTCCTCTCTTTCTTTGAGGGGACTTCCTTCCTCTCCTTGTGGCGGCAGGGGCGTTTGCTCAGGCGGTAGTTGTTGCGATGGTGGCTGTGCTTGTTGCTCTTGTCCTGGTTGTGGCTGTGGTGGTGGCTCTTGTTGGAGCGGCTGTAGCACTGTCTGTCGCTCCTCCACCTGCTCTTCCTTCCGCTGAGAAAAAAGCTGAGGAATGCTTGAAGACGGCACGGGCGGAGACGGGGTAGGAGGTATTTGATGGGATGAGGCCCCAGGCGTGGGTGAGGGGCGGGCAGAGGAAGCGGCGGAGGAGGAGGAGGAAAAGCCCACAGTATCGTGAAACGTCTCCCACCCTGCGGTCAGGCTGGCGGGAGGGGAGGGGGGGAGGGAGGACGAGGGGGGGAGGGCAGTCGGGGCGGTGGAGAGGGGGGAAGAGGCCTGAGAGGGACGGCGGAGGGGCGTGAGATTGGCGGGAGTGAGGGGCAGCACGCCCGTGGAGGGGGAGGGGGAGGGGGTGGCCTGTCTAGGAGGGGGGGTTGCCGCCCCAGCGACGCTTCCCCCTGCCGCCGGGGCCGCGTTCGGCCAGGGTGCAGTGTCTCGGGCCTTGGTCAGACCGGTAGTGTCAGAGAACGTAGTGCTTTCCAGGGAGGAAGGCAACGAGGGAGGCCCCCCTACCGGCTCTCCGTCCGACCCCAACCTCCGAGGCATCCGCGTATCCCCTCCTTGCCCCTTCCTCCCCCTCCCTTTCTCCCCTCCTCGTTCATCCTCGCCCGATCCAGGAGCCCGAGTCCTCGCATGGGGCTGCGCATGGTCAATGGCTTCCAGCAGAGGGCACCGTCGAAGGCCACTGGATCCCGGACAGGGAGGATCGGCATCCTCTTCATGTTGCGCACCTCCACCACCTCCTCCGCGGCCCTATAAAAGACACGAAGGGCCTGGAGCTGCGATTCGTACTGCTCACGTAAGGCCAAAAGGATGGATACGCGCTCGCGCCAGTCCACCGGGGGGGGAAGGGGGACGCTGTCTTGTCGGAGATGATCCTTCTCTTGCGAGTGGGAGCGCGCCTCCCTTGGACCGGTGGAGCGGTGGAGGAGGGTGGGAGGATCGGGGGGCGAGGACGAGGAGGAGGAAAGAGGGAGGATGCCTTGACTCGAGGCAGTGGCGCCCATCTCCTTGGGGCGTTCATGGGGGAGGGCGGGAAGGAGGAAGGGGAGGGGGAGCCCGGCCGACGCCCGGGCGGAGATCTCGAGCAAGGAGGCCAGGAGGAAGGTGCAGGCCACGAAGATGGTGTAGGCCTCTTCGATCAAGGGCAGGCGGGCCCAGCGCGCGGTGACGGCGACGGACTCGTTCTGGACGGCGAAGAGGAAACCCGTGGTTTGGAGCAGGGATTCCTGCATGGTCAAGAGCCGCGTGAGCGCCTGTAAGTCCTCCTCCTGCCCCGAGACGGGGACGGTCTCGTAGCCAAGCATGGTGGGAATGGCGGTAAAATGCATGGCGAAGGCAGGGTGGGCCTTGTGGAAGTGCAATTTCTGCACCAAGAGACGGGAAAGTCGTGCCAACAAGTTGAGCGACGCCCCGTCCACGTGCTGGCGCTTGTGCTGTTGGCTCGGAGGGGCCGTGTACCCTGCCCCCAACGCGTGGGACCCGCCCGATGCCCCCGAAGACGCCGGTGTCGACGCGGGCGTGGTCAATGCCGTGGATAGCGTGGTGTAGCCCTCGGCGCGGGCGGCGGGCGGGAGCTGCTCCTCCAAAGGGTCGCTGGCCACGCGGCTCCCAATCTCTTCCCACCGCCGGCCCATGTCCGCCAACACCCCCATGCAGGGGGTGCACGTCGCCAGAAAATTGCGGGGCCCCTGTTGAAGCACTTTCAGGGTGGTGATCAAGGCCTTCAAGGCCACGATCGGGTTCGTAAAGACGGGGCGCTGGGAGAGGACCAGGAAAAAAGTAGACGCAGGCATGCCCCCCTCCCACACGGCCAGGACGAGCTTCCGCACGTACTTGGCCTTGGGCTGCCCTGCCTCCTTGCTCGTTGCCTTGACCACCCAACTTTTCTTCCCCGTCTCCCCCTTGGCCCCCATGATGGACCGCATCCGCCGGTGCCAGAGCGCCGAGAGGGCCCCCTTGGCGGGCGGGCGGCCGCTCGGCTCGTCGTCCAAGCTCTTCAAGGAGGACGCGGAGGAGGAACGAGGCATCGCGCCCGAGCCCTCGCCCACCAGGGCGCCCAAGGGCAGCATGCGTGGGAGGGGGGCGGCGCTTCGGTCCACTGTCGCCAGCTCTGCCAGGTCCATACCATCATCCTTCGCCTCAACACCCGGGCCCTTCGGGTCCACCGCCTCCACTCCGCCCACGCTCGTCCCCCGGCTCAGCCCCCACACCTGCCTGGCCGCCTTGAGGCCCAAACTGCTGCTCCCGCTCCCAATGCTGCTGCTGCTCCTCCGAGGGCGCATGTCGCCCTTCGTCTTCCCTCCCCCCCTACGCCTCGACCCCTCCATACCTCCCTTACCCTGCTCCGGGTCGCATTCTTCCCATCCCCGCCGTCGCAAACGTTCATCCTCCTCCCAGATCGACAGCGCCTGGCCCATGCCCACGAAGCTCAGGCTTCGGGACCCCAGCCCGTTGCTAGCCTCGCCTCCTTCCCGGCATCGCCCAGGCACACTCCCGTGTCGCTCGAGCCCAACCAGGTGGGAAGGGGAGGAGCTCGCCGACAGGGAGCCCGACAGAGTCGACGTCCTGCTTCCCTCTCCCCGGTCCCGGGACGCCAGGCGGCCGGCCTCCTCTCCGCCCCCCCCTACCCCGGGCCTGGTCCGTGGCCACCGGGCCGGGGGCCCGAGCATGTCTTCCAAGGACGAGAGGGACGTGGGGGGAGGAGCCTGCGGTCGACTCGCCCGCAGGGCAGCCTTGTCTGGTGGCGTGGCCGTGTCGTACAGCCCCAGGAAATCCTCTTCTCCCGGCCCCCGTTCCCCTGGGCAGGTGCCGCTCGCTCTCCCTTTCTTTCCCCCCTTCCGCGGGTGCGAAGCCCCGGACGGCGACGGCGACGGCGACGCGGAGCAACCCAGTGGCAAAGGGGCAGGGCACGGAAGGAGAGGGCCAAGGGCGGGGAGGTCGACGTGGCGGCCGATTTCTCCACTCGCCATGAGTTCGCGCACTTTTTCCAAAACCTCGGCTGCCGTGGCCCGGTCTTGGGGACGGGGCTGCAAGCAACACTGGAGCAGGGTCACCAAACCGGGAGAATAGGGCGGGAAGGACTGCTGCCCATTCGTGCCAGGGATGGGGAGGGAGGGAGGGACGACGTACTTTCCGTTCAAGATGGCCATGGGAAGGACCATGCCGGCCTTGTCCTCGAAGGGGGTGACCCGCCAACAGAGCCGATAGAGCAGCACTCCTAGCGCCCACACGTCCACAGGCACACCCACGGGCTGCTGCGAGTATAAATCCACCTGCTCCGGGCTCCGGTAGGCCAGGCGTGTGTGTCGTTCGATGTCCTCTCGCGCGATCTCCACCTCGGCGCTGTTCCGCAGGGGCCCAGTCTCCATTGTACTGGCCCCCAGACCGCAGAGTTTGACCCGCTGCCCATTGCTTTCCGTCGACAACACCAAGTTCTCCACCCGGACATCCCGGTGGGCGAGGCCATGGGCGTGGAGGTGGACAAGGGCGGCGCAGGCGGAAGTGAAGACGTTGAGGACGTCCCGCTCGGCCAAGGGTTCTTTGCGGCGCTCAGCACCTTCCAACAAGACGTGCACCGTGCTGGGGCAGTATTCAGTCAAGAGATAATAAAGCGTGAAGCCTCCTTTGCCGGTATTGGCACCGCCTTCTCCGCCTGCAGGTGACACGTGTTCAATACGCGAGCCTATGTATGTGATAAGGTGGGGATGCGGGGGGAGCCTGGCATGCTGCTCCAATTCCATCTCCGCCGCCTTGTTCATCGCCACATCCCCTTTAGGCACACGGTTGACTTTGATCGCAAATTTTCGCCGCGCTTCATCCTCGGCCAAGTATACGGTCCCAGTCCCACCGGCGCCTAAGCAAGACTTGACTCGGAGGGCATGCCCTGCTATGACCAGGGTTGATGAGATCGGCAGCACATTGCTAGACCCGCTACCAACGCTTCCAACATTTCCCATGTGAAGTGAAAAATCGGAATTGAAGCCACTAAAGTGCCCTGGGCCAGACCATGATTGGGCCTAAATGGGTTGAAAGGTCTTGGCTACTGCAAGTCTGCTTCCTCCATGGCGAGCATGTATGCGGTGGCTACTTTAATACAGTCGACGTCAGCATTCACGCTCACACTAACCCTATGATGTGTGTGATGGAATGTGTTGTGTGGTTTGTCAGGTGATGAGTTTTGACCCCACGGAGGGTCTCCGTGACTTCATATGTCGGGCTGTACATATGCGATGGTGTCATCCTTATTACCAGTACCTTATTGCCAGTACCACGACTCAAAAGAAAGTTTGTCCCCTTTTTACATCGAACAACCATGCGACCAACGGGAAAAAAAACAAGTTCGTACCCCCAGGCACGTGACGCACGCCTGTGACTTCATCGTGATCGAAAAGACTTCCAGTAATGGTGTCCTTTAAGGAGTGAATTTTACGCGATGTCGCCAATCGAATATTTCCTTCCAAGCCGAGCAGGAAAAAAGGAGGGCAGGGACGCGGCACACCACTTTCCTTTTTCCTCACATTCCCGGCATGTATGGTCGCTGGTGCCCTATATATCTGAAGGGTATTCTAATAGGAGCATGCCTGATGTGTGATATTTGTTAATTTGTGGTATGGTGGTGCTTGTTTTGCTCTCCATGTGGCACTCTCGCTCGGAGTGCGTGCCCGTCGACCCGATCTTGCCTGGCCCATGACGTGTTCACATTTCCTGTCAAGCGTCTGGCACAGCGCACCACATGATAGACCCGGGCGACTGCTCACCTTGCAACATTTTTCGTACTATCAGCATTTTTTTGGGGAAACGGAACCATGCGAACGACCGTGTCTGCTTCGATTTATGCCATACTTCTGACAGCAACCGCCGCTCCTGTCTTGGCGGACTTCTCCTTTGACAAGGTACGCTTGCTTTTGTTCACAGGGATTATTGTACACTTCGTATGATGAACTGAAGGGCTGTAGATGCTTTGAAGATGCAGCATTATGTTTCGAAGGGCCAACTTTAGATTTCAGGCGTCTCAACTGAAGCGGCTGAAGCGGCAAGAGAGAGTAACCTCAAGTACCGTTTGGACCGCGAAGCATTCAGTGTTTACGAGAGCCAAAAATGCAATCTTTTACGAGTGCAATCACCGTCTTTGACCCTTTACATTTTGTAGGCCTGGTTTCATGGAGGCGATGGAGGCGCCTGTAAGACTGTGGTCCCCCAGAACCCTGTAAACTTGCAGGAGTATGCAAGCAAACGCTGGTACATCCATCAGCAAATGGCAACACAAGCCGGAAATCCTAACGGAGAATGGAACTTCTGGTAGGTAGTGAGGTCTGAAATCGCACGGGGAACAAATTGGAGACGAAGGAAATGAAAACGTGTCAGAGGACTAGGCACGCCAATGAACTTCTCTCCCGCACACACAGTGTGTATGCAGAGTATACAATCAAGTCCCCCAACAACGTAGCTGTTCACAACTATGCCAACGAAGGTGGTGTCAACAACATCATTCGCGAAGCGGACCTCTGCGCTACTGTCCGTGATCCCGAAAATGATCCTGGTCGCTTGGCTGTTGGTCCGTGTTTCCTTGAGTTTGCCAACCGACTGCTTTATGGACCCTACTTTATCGTGGCTTACGACGAAGCCGAGGGGTACGCCTTAATCTCGGGAGGTTCTCCTACGATACCCACAAAAGATGGGCTTTGCACGACTCAACGTGGATTCAACAATGCGGGGCTCTGGATCTTTTCACGATCCAATGTTCGCGATGAGGCTTTGATACAAAAGTTGCGTGGAATTGCTGTGGAAAAGGGCTTTGATGTGGACGTATTGGAAGACGTCCAGCATGAAGGATGTACTTACCGGCCTTCGTCAGAACCTGCGGGGCTGCGTACGTAACTTGAGCAGTAGGAGGACGATGCCGCACATATTCGCTAGGACTCAGATGAAATTAAATGTTTGATTCATCCAGTATGCTGCGATGGCAGAAAAAATTACAAGAGATAGCTCGTGGGTCTTGAGGGTATTCTCAAAAATGCTTCAGGTTGGTTCGAGTCTAATGCTACCACAAAGATGCCATGTACCCTCAAAATAATCGAAATGTCGACGTTTACTAGTGATGGTATCATTGCGGAAGCTTACTTGACTTTTCGTAATTTGTTGTTGTCCTTCCATTGAAAGTGGAAGAGTAGTGGCTGAAACTTTGTAGCTTCTATGCTACCATAACCCGCTTCATATTCCCGATGACAGCTACAGTCCACTGCACAAAGTTTGCTACTGCGTTAAAGTTTATGTAGATATTATCAAAATTTCCAGTTCGGGCCTTATCCAAATTATCGAAGCATAAAAGTACACATGCTGCGCTTTTGGGGGTGTACGCTCTCCCTTCTTGAAGTTCGCTGGGGCCCCATGAGCGACAATTTATGGCATGGTGACCTCCACTATTGTGTCCTGAAAACTTTCACCGATGCAATCCATCAACCTCTCACAGGCCAGCTTCATTTTATCCAAGGCATAGCGGGTTTTGTTCCTCCAAAATGCTAGAGCCCTACTGCCTCTCTGCACTGATACGCTCGACCTCCCGCCTCCTGGGTGTGAGGGGCAGGAAGAGCTTGCCATGTCCTTCATATACCAGATATCGGCGGCCGTTTGCGAAATATGCGTCCTCAACTACGGGAGAGCAAGATTTGTCGGGTTTCGAGCTGCGACAATATGGCAAAGATGATCCGCCACGTCTGACATGCAAGACTTGCTCGCACATCTTGTATGACAACCCCAAGGTACGGATTGACGAGCGGTACGAAGGGACCAAATTACTTGGAGCCACAGGCATTCATTCACGCAGGTCGTGAGTGTTATCGATGTATTACTTTAAGTCGCCTCCCTCTTTTTTGTCACCAGATCGTGACGGGCGCTGTCGTCACCTCCCGGTGCCCCCAGACGGGCGACTCCCTCTTCCTTCTGTGCCGGCGTGCCATTCCACCACGTCGAGGCTATTTCAATCTTTGTGCGGGGTACATGGAGAAAGGCGAATCCTTGGCTGAGGCCGCAGCACGCGAAGCGCGGGAGGAAGCTGGTGCCCAAATAGACATCGGTCAAATTTTAGGGATCTTTGACATCAGTCACATAGGACAAGTGCACATATATTTCAAAGCGACCCTCAGCAATACGGACATCGAACCGGGCTACGAGAGTCTGGATGCGCGTCTGGTACGGTGGGACGAGATTCCATGGGGCGACTTGGCATTTCCCACCGTCTCCTGGGCCTTGATGGCGTGGGAGAAGCAGGCGGCCTTGGGGGGGGAATGGGGAGGGACGCCGTTTCGGAATCCTGTGCTCTCAGGATATGAAGGTAGCACAAATGTCTGGTATCGCCCGGATAAAGGCGGATTGGTGCACGACGAGTCGTGGATGCGTCGGGAGGGAAGGGAGGAAAGTGTGGGGTCCGCGGGAGAGAGGCAAGGGCGGGGTGGAGCAGGGGAATGCAAAAAGAGCGCACAGGAAACGCATGAGAGGGACAGGTGAGACACGGGAAACAACAAATCCACATGAGTAGCCGCGAGCCGGTCCTCACTTCGGACGGCACCCGAGGGTGTCTCTGTCAGGCACCCACTGCTCAGGGTGGCTACGACTACAACCGATCGTCCGAGAGCGATTTGATTTCATTTCTTGAAAGATGGGGGTACTTTAAATGTTCTCCGAACCCCGAACCCAGCCATATACAAAGCGGGGGTTTCAGCCTCTGCCCTGGAGCCCCCAAGACTTCTTCTGTCTTCCCTCCCGCCCTCCCACCTCATCTCACCACCATGCTCTTGGCTTCTTCTCCCCCTTGATCCCCGCCACTCTTCCCCATGCCAGCCTCGCTTCCCTCCCCCACGTCTGCTCGAATCCTCCTCCCTTCCCTCTCCTCCTCCTCCGCCTCCGCCTCCTCCTTCTGCTCCCAGCTAACCAAGCCAAAGCCCGCAGCCACTGCGACGGCCCCGAGCACCTCCTTGAGCCCTCCATGCGCCTTACCCAGGGCAGCGTCGGAAAGGAAGGCGAGGGGAATGGTGAGGGAGAGACCGACGGTGGCCACGGTGGGGGAGGTGAGAACGATGGACCGGGCCCACAAATAGTCAGAGAGGACGTTGTCGGCCAGGCCGTTCAGGACGATGAAGCCGAGAACGGAGAGAGACAGGCCCGCGAAGACGGAGGGCAGGGCGCGGGTCAGGAGGAGGAGGAGGGTGGGGGGAAGGAGGAGGAGGAGGGAGAGGAGGCCGACGTAGCCGAAGAGAAGCTGGAAGGAGACGCTCCTGTCGTCAGGGACCAACACCCTCAGCGCCGTCGTATACACGCCGTACATGATGGCGGCGAAGAGGCACAAGGCATCCCCGGCCACGGAGTTCGTTCCCTCCCCGTTCCGATCCGCCAACCCGACCAAGACGGTCCCCCCCATGGAGAGGAGCAAGCCCGCCATTTTCACCCAGGCAAAACGCTCCAGGCCTCGGCAAGTGGAGAAGAGGAATGTCCAGAGGGAGGACGTGGTGGAAATGATGGTGTTACTGGTCACGCTGGTGTGTGCCAGGGATAGGTTGTAGGAGAAGTTGGCGATGAAGAAGAGGGGGAAGACGACGACCGCTGTCCGAAGCGTTTTCAGGTGACTCCAGCGCAGAGGTTCAGTGGAGGACGAATATTCTTCGGCCTCAGCCGGGGCGCTTCTTGCAGATGGGTTTTCCAGCACGGTAGATGGAAGGGGCAGTTCATCAGGGATACGGGCCATAGGGCCCTGACCGGTGTCTTTCCCATTGTGCACAGTCGAGTAGAGGACGTTTGGTCGCCGCTCATGAGCGCTGGCGGAGCTTTCCAAGGTAGGATCCCGCCATGGGGGATTTTTCGTCCATCCTAACCGTACACACAGGTATGTCCATGGCAGGTAGACGCTGAAAAGACTGGTGCAAATGAAAGTAAGAAGGAACGGCGACTCGAAGTGCATATCCGTGTAGATATGCTGGATGAGAACAGAAGCGCCAGCCCAAATGATAGCCACAAGGAATATAAAAAACAGCCCCAACGCGTAAGAAGCAGAGCGTTTAGACCCAGTGAAGTACCGATGGACCATGCTTGTAGGAGAGGCGACAAAACGAAAGGTGAAGAGAAGGCTCAAGAAGTTTGGCAAAACAGGCCAGGGTGCAAGCAATTATCGCGGGCAAAAGAGCAACAAATGAATTGCGGCGAAAGCTTTCGCTGCTCCTGTTGATTTCTGAAGCTAATTTACACGATTGAGAGGAGAGGTAGGGCTTGCAGTAAGACCTTGCCAGGGTTCGATGTCAATGCAACCATTCGCCTCTCGACTCCATCAACAGCATAAAGATCTAGAGGCCCATCGATCCTCCCTCGCACCCGCAACACGCGGTGTCCACACTGGACAGGGCATAGACGGGACTGCCGTCGTATGCAGCAGGCGAAGGTTCTTTTTCCATCACAAGCGGGCACGCGTCAGCTGTCGATCGCCGAAAGGGAAATTCGTCGGACCACATTGCGACTTGAAGGGGCCTGCCGCAATATTGGGACAGGATCTTCTGATCCGGTGGGAACGTTTTGAATGCAATCCACAATTTTTCATACTTCACTTGCGTATCTCCCGTCCCGAATCCACGAAAGCCCCCGGTTCATGTTCAGAAAAGCAGCTGCGGCCCGCTATCGTACCGTCGACTCTTTTCTTCGTTTCATGTCATCATCTTCTGTTCGACCGCAGCAACGTTATGCATTTCTCAGCGACTTAGGTTTGTCGCAAACAACAACACAAAAAGGCGTTTGCGATGGTTATTCCTGGTACGCTTCAGGTCCCAAACATTCGCAAATTAACCCTGCAACGGGGGAGGTGATTGGGACAGTAGAGTTCGGTTCTGGGGACGACTATGAGCGAGCTGTCAAGGCCATGCTAGCGGCCAAAGAGAAGTGGGCACTGACCCCGGCCCCTGTCCGTGGCGAGGTCGTACGGCAGATTGGCCAACGCATTCGAGAAAAACAACATGCACTTGGTGCCTTAGTTTCTGCAGAAATGGGGAAAATTTTACCGGAGGGCATTGGCGAAGTCCAAGAGGCAGTTGACATTTGCGACTTCGCCGTGGGTCTCAGCCGCACTTTGAATGGCTCGGTCATTCCCTCCGAGCGTCCAGGCCATTTCATGATGGAACGTTGGAATCCATTGCAGGGTTGTGTAGGCATCATTTCCGCCTTCAATTTTCCCTGCGCCGTGTATTTTTGGAACGTGGCACTGAGTTTGGTGTGTGGCAACGTCAACCTCTGGAAACCCGCAGAAACGACCTCGTTGGTCGCCATCGCGTTCGTCAAGCTCGTCCAAGACGTCCTGAAGGAATCAGGGCACGACCCGGCTGTCGCCACGTTGGTGTGTGGACACGGCAAGGAGATTGGAGAGGCTCTCATTCAAGACCCCCGCATGGAGCTGGTATCATTCACGGGGAGCACGACGGTAGGTCGCCACGTGAACCAGGTCGTGGCCGGGCGTTTTGGACGCGCGCTTTTGGAACTGGGAGGGAACAACGCAATGATTATTGATCGGGACGCAGACCTCGATCTTGCCGTCAGGGCTGCCCTCTTTGGGGCCGTGGGAACGGCAGGACAACGATGCACGAGCCTCCGGCGTTTGTTTTTGCATGCAGATGTGTATGAGGAAGTGTTGGGGAGGTTGAAGCAGGCGTACGCCTCGGTCAAGATCGGGGACCCTTTGGACTCGCAGACGTTGTGCGGGCCTCTGCACCGTCCGGAGGGAGTCAAACTCTTTACAACGACCGTCGCCAAGGCCCTGGAGGAAGGGGGAAAGGTGCTGGTGGGGGGGCAGCCCTGGCACGGCGTGGAGAAGGGAGGAATGCTCTCCCATGGTAATTTTGTGCAACCAACCGTGGTGGAAGTCCCGGCCACGGCGAAAATTCTGGAAGAAGAAGCCTTTGTCCCCGTCATGTACGTGGTGAAGATCAAGGATTTGCAGGAAGGGGTGAAGATGAACAACAGCGTCCGTCAGGGGCTGTCCTCCGCCCTTTTCACCTCCTCTCCCACAAGCATGTTCGAGTGGACCGGGCCCACGGGCTCGGACTGTGGCATCGTGAACGTGAACATTGGGACAAGCGGCGCTGAGATCGGGGGCGCGTTTGGGGGGAACAAGGAGACGGGGTGGGGCCGGGAGAGTGGGTCCGACGCGTGGAAGCAGTACATGCGTCGATCCACCTGTACGATCAACCACAGCAAGGAGCTACCTTTGGCGCAAGGTATTAATTTTGGAGGGGGCAATGAAAATGGTGGCGAGGGGAAAATAATGGACTGAAAAGATCATTATTCAGCGCAAGTAGAGAAAAAGAGTAGGACATGGGGGTGCGTCCGAGATGTAAAAAAGAGGCGAGTATAATAAGAAGATGAAGAATGAGGAAGGAAAGGGGCCCGGATAGAATATGTACAAGAAAAGATTAAATAAAGGCACGTGGTAGAAAGGCGAGTGTCGTCAAACAAGCAGACCACTATGCTCGACAGCCGAGGATCACAAGGAAATATGAGCATGTCTTGTGGTAGTAAGGCGATGTGTCACGCGAAAATATGGGCAATCCTTCAAAAGAGGTAACATTTATCCTGTCTAGACTATTTTAGGTTTGTTTCCAGATTGAAATAACATGAAAAGATTTCAAAGATGAAAAAGAGAAAATCGAAGACAAAAGAGTTTGAGCAAACCAAGTCATGAACTCTTGCATTTGCCACAGCAACTTGCAATTTCCTTAATCAATATATTTTGCGACACTTGATTCCTACACTTGCGCAGCGGACGGTCTGAAAACGAAGCACTATACGAAGCACTATACCCGACACGTGCAAAAGGAGATGACCTCCCTCCCAACACTCTTTCCTTCCCACTTTTAAAGTGTAGCACGGTTGTGATTGATTTGAAAGCATGGTGCGTCACGGGGAATAAAATCTACAAGCATTAAACATGTACCTTACGTGCCTGCGTTCTTTCGTCACAATCATCTTTACAGGAGCTTTCTCTGAAGCACACGTAAGTCATAACCTCCCCGCCTCATCTCTCCTACACAACTCATCGATTCTCTTCATCGTCTCGCACTCAAGCAAGTATGCCTCCGAAAGTCAACCCGAACGCTGGTAAATTTCTTGTTACCTTCTGTGTTGGCTTGACAGCGGCAGGACTCGGAGTGGCCACGGTCTACTTGCCTTATTTCTCAGATGACGCCAAAGCAAGGACGGCGAGGGTGCAACAGGGTAGACTTCATAAGGAAGAGCAGGCTCAGCAAATGCCTTCTGAGATCGATGACAGCAATATTACGCCGACAAGCGGAACTCCAGCTGGGAGCATGTGGAAAAATATGAAAAATAAGTAGGCATGTGCGGTACAGGAAGAAAATGCTTCATCGGTCTGCTACGTAGTACAATTTCATTGTGTTGCTCTAGAGATGCAATCATCTTCTTAATTTATAAAAATTTCCAGGGAATGGGTTCCCACCAATTTGCACATTAGTATCCTTTACCGTACACTGCGGCAAGCTGCGCTGGACATTATCATCACTACGAGGTACCTCGCCGGCCCCTGGCCACGCCATCGCCACCCCTGACATTTTTACATAAACGCACAACACGGCACATTTCGCTTCTCCTTTTCTCTACCTTCTAGCCCGTCCGGGCTTCCTTGTCCCTCCTTGTCCTCCCTTTCCGATCCGGTAGGCGGTGTCAAGGGAGGAGGTCCGTCCGTTGTATCAACGTAGGGGAGACCGGCCAGGGCCTCTCTTAGGTGCTCCCCCACGTATCGCTCATCCAAATGGATCTCCTCCGCCAATGTCCGGACCATGACAGGGGTAAGCAATGCCTTGGCGGGGTGGGTTTGGAAGTAGAGGGTGACTTTATCCGCAACGTTCTCGAGTTCCCGCTCGTTGAGGTGCACGTAGGCCTTGGACCGTATGAACGGATGCTGCAAGAGAATGTCAGCCGAGTCCCGTCGATGCGGATCTTTGCGCAAGCACGCCTCGATAAAATCCCGAAACTCCGGCGAGAACCGTTCGGAAATCCGAGGGGCCGGCTCGTCAATCACACTGGCCGCAATCAGGACCTCATCGTCTGCCACGTGGGCGAACGGACACTTGCCTTCTGCGATGGCCCAGAGCGAGAGCCCAAAGCTCCAGATGTCACCCTTAATGCTCCAACGCCCTTTGAGAGGCGGCGTGCTTGGGACTGGGGCTGTGGCCTTGCGTCCGTCCGCTTGCGTGGCCTCTTCGGCTACTTCTCCCTCGATCTCCTCGTCCTCCATCTTGGAATCCAACATTTCGGGCGGAACGTACCGATTGGTTCCAACCGTCTGCGATTTGACCTTATCCAGGCTTGCGGCCAACCCAAAATCAGCCAGTTTTACGAAATTTTTGGAGTTGATCAAGAGATTGCCAGGCTTGACATCCCGATGGATTTTGCCCTGGCTGTGCAGGTAACTAAGGCCTCGCAACACGTTGTAGGCGATCTTGGCCAAGAGAGCTTCGTCCCGAGAACCTCCCTTGTCGACTAAATCTTGAAGCGACCCGCCGTTCATGTATTCCATGACCAGGCGGATCTGGGAATGGTGCTTGTAGGCATCGTAGAGGCTGACAATAAAAGGGCAGTACTCCCTTCCCCCCCCCCCTCCCGCCGTGGTCGTCAGGGAAAAACGACACGGGTGCACTCGTGTTGAGTCGTCTGCAATGCGCTCTCGGATCATGACCTGGTTGCTCAAAAGCTGTTCGAGTTCGTGGATGGCTTGGCTGAGCTTGCTCGGCTTGTCGATGGGCACCTTTTTGACCGCCACCATCTTCATGGTCGGGAAATGCAAAGCCTTGACCACCTCCACAGAGCCGGCACCGCGCCCCAGAAACCCCAGCTCTAGGAGATTGTCCCCCGCCTCGTCGAGAAGCCCTCCCGCGGGGGGGTAGGAGGTGGAAATGCCAGGCCTCGGCGGCCCAGTCACAGACTTGGGGAGAGGGCGTTGGCCGACGCCGCGCCCCGGTCGACGGACGGGGCTGTCGCCCTTCTGGGTGTCTTGGCTAGAAATGCTGTCGGAAGGGTAAGTGTACGTGCCTTTGCTCCCAATCGCAAAGCGGTGGGCCACCTGAATATGGGCCGTCACGCGTCCATCCCGGCCTTGGACATTCTCGTAGCGAACAATGTCCCCGTCTGACGTCTGCAGGATGGCCATCCCGCTCCTATCGTCCACGTAAGCCACCCGTCGGAGGCCATCGCTTTCCAGGGGCTGGCAGCTGCCTCCGCTGCTGCTGGTCGGGGCCGTGCTACACGAGCCCGCAAGGAGAGCTTCCTGCCCCAAATCAGCACCTCTGCCGGTATGACTCATTGGTAGCTCCTGTAAGTTCAGGCGAAGGAGGCGTTGGACGCGTTGTCCGGTCCTGCTGGGACCAGGTGTTTGTGGTGCGGGCGGAGGGGGACACCCGGGGAGGTATGCACCCAAGCTGTGCTCCTGAGGCAATGCGGCTCCAACGGAAGAAACGTGCGCATTGTCCACCGCGTCAGCAATTTCTCCTGATACACTCTCTTCCTCCTTGAGCAGTTCCGCTGTAGATTTCAAAAATCTCACGGTAGTCGTGCTAGACAAGCTGCTGTTCGTCCACGAGGAACACGAGGCGATAGTATTTTGCGTGTCCTGTAGGCCGCGCCTCGAGACGTCTTCGCCGATGACCACCGCCCCCGTGGTGGTGAATGAGACCATTGAGCTGTCGTCCGGTGATAATGGCCTATAGACGCTGGATGTAAGTGGTGCTGTTTTCCATGGCAAGGAGCGGCCGGAGACTATGTCATGTGAGCTCCCTTTCTTACTGGGGCTGAGCGCGATCGTGTCCTCCAAAAGAGCCAGTCTATGGATATCCGAGAGGGTAGAGACGTCAACATGAGGCATGGGGATGGTGGATCCTTCAGAGGACTGCGCTTCAGGTCGTAAGGGGGAGATGGACGCAAAGCTGCTTCCTTTGAGAAGCAAGTCGCCATTCGTGCAGCCTGTCATATCTACCATTCCAGAGAAGGGAGTGGCGAATGACGGATGAACGGGACCATTTATGTTGCTAAGTGTATATTGTGGTCCGTTCCATTCATGCGATTGCGCTATCACACCAGGCGTCGTTGCCGTTGTGGCTGACTTGGAGTGGATCGGCTGTACGCTTCTCCCAGTGCTCTCCTCTGCAGATATCAGCTCTGTCGTCTCGTGTTTCAGCAGACGATTGTTGTCTTCTTTTTCTTCGGTAGAATCCATTTGTACTAGTGTTTAGTTGGAAGCAGTGCCCGTTCACCTGACCCAAAAAAATATTAGGGGGTTGCACACACGGGGTCAGGTAGTATGAGAATGGCGAAAACAAGTATAAGGGTCAGTCGCACATTTCTACTTGTCGTACCGCATCAAATAACATTCATAATTCCAATTCGTGGGGATTCCAGGAAGGAGTCATTCGAGCAATGCACACGACGGTTCGAGGCGCGGTGAGACAGAGATTGCCCGGTTCAAAGCACACCGTCCCTCTGTTCCTCGCTTGCAAAATCAAACAATGCACCAGAGGGACGAAGAGTGCATCCACTAGAGCTATTCAAGAGAGGCTTCATATGGTACAGATACTAGTTCACACTGTAAAATGGCACAGACTTATCCTTTGTCCAGAGCGAACTCGTGAAAGAATCCAGACAAAAGCTCACGCGCCGAGCGCAGGAAACGAAACTTTAAATTTTGAACTTTCAAAAGTTCAACCAAAGTGAAGCCTACCTATATACCTCCTGCATTCGATGTGATGTGAAACACCTCGCTCGTTCCATGCTCTATCTATACAGGCTAAAATAACTCCAAAACTATCTTATTTTCAGGTATCGTGGCTTAGGACTGAATCGGTATCGAAATTCCTAAAATGGTGTCGTCGTCCAAGAGAGGAACTGCAGGACCAATAACCAAACACTCGCGGTCCTAAAATAGCAAAGTGAACCGCCGAAAGATACGATTGTGATCTTACCTGCTGAAATATCAAAAGCATTTCACATTCGTGCTCGACTTTAGCGGTGTTCTGGGGGAGAGAAAGTTTCCAGGTGGGATTAAGTAACTCTTCTCCTTCGTGGTCGACATTCCCGTTCCTTTGCTAGTCGCTTGGAGCACTGCCACTCTGCGTCGGACAAGCCTGTCATACCTTCTCTACACATCCTTATTTAAACGCAAATACGAATATTTGTACAGAATACATCTTTGTGTTACCATCCCCGCTTCTTATCATGAAAAGAGACGACCGGCGCAGTTGGCTTTTTCCATGGTGGCACGGAAACAGCTTAAAACCTATTTTTACTCAACCATAGGCGACTTACTGGAAACTACATTGCAAGGGATAGAGACAAGCGAGGAGAAAGAGGAGCGCAAAGATGATACATTGATGACTAAATGACAAGATCGTCGTCAGTCTGCTTCAGACAAGGCTAATTACCCATAGAATATCACGGCCACAGACAGTTTACATGCCGATGTCAAGGTTTGTTCATGGCCGACTCTAAAACAATCATCAAAAAATGTAGACAGAACAGCTTCGTTCACCATTACTTCTTTGATTTGCTTTGAAGCTGAAGCGAGTAGTGCGAGACTCCGATAAACCATGAGAGATGCCTCGTAAGATAATGTATCATCATAAGAGTAACAGTGGTTGAACACCACACACAATATTTCGAGCTCAAGGTTTGTTCGTGGCCGACTAATGAAAACGCAAGAAATATATGTAGACAGAACGACTTGTTCACCATTACTTCTTTAAATGCTCTAAAGCCGAAGCGAGTAATGCAAGACGCCAACAAACCATAGAAGGCATCTTAATAAAATCATCTTAATATTGATGATCGGATGCCACACACAGGACAGCACCTACGTAGCACGAACACGTCAGAATCGAAGCCGAAGGTCGTAAAATTTCGAGACAGGTGATACACGGAACATAGAAGTTGAATAGCACGAACACAGTTGAGCCGGCGTTAGCACGGTAAACGTCGAGTTAGTCTCTCAAGAGGATAAGGTACACTCTGGCAGATCAATGTATCACTTTGACACATGTCGCATACATTGCGATTCATTGATGATGCGGACTCTGCCATCCTAAGGGCTCGGACGGGGCTCGAGAATGTTTGTCGGGCCGTACGCCTTGCCCTTGTAATTTACCGTCAGGGTCGCCACGCCTTCCATCTCATCGTAGCTAATCATGGCGCCGTCATCATCGGTAGCGAAGCGTTTGATTTTCGGGAAATGACCGGTAGCCGCCAAGACAGCGACGTGGTTCAGCTGGAACGCAAGGTCGGTCTCGTCAGAGATAAACGTCATGTACATCGCGCTATCGTTCGGGTGATCTCCGACAATTAAGTGACCAGAGCATGTCTGAGACGTGAGCCCACCGCAAAGGATGGAAAAGTCACCGATCATGATGTCCCGCTGTCAATGGTGTTGAGAGGTGGTGCCCCAAAGGAAGGACGATAAAGTCTAGGGTCTATCACATATTATTATACACTGTCAGGTTGCATTTATAAAACCCCACGTCGTCTCCACGCTGATGTGTTCATGCTCTTAAGGGCTTTCTTACCTGGTCACAGTTCACCACATGAAGTGTGTCTGCATAAGTACTGTTCGTAAAGGTGCTCGGATCATCAAATGTTCCGTTCAGGCACAGCTGGAAGTGCCTAACTTTCTGCCAGCCAGGCACTAGAGGGATTTCAAAACACAATTCGATATGAGTATGACAACATGTGGTATAGCTTTGCCCCCCGTCTTCGGAAAAGCCCCCAGTACTCGCACCTTTGTACTTGGCATTGTGGTTGGCAACGGTGGCGACCACGCTGGCCGACAGAAGGATGGCGGTGAGAATACGCTTGGCGAACATGATGAGGGCTTGGAAGGGCGGATAGCTCCTGTGATAGACTGAATCGTGGGTAAAGGTTGCATTGCCATGAGGTTTGTTCAACGGCGACGATTGCTTTCTATAAAGAGAGGGTCAAAAAGTACTATTCCACAGAGAACGTGGGCGTCCCGATGATTCTTCTGTTGCAAGCAGTAGGGCTTAAGAGCTAGGTCACGCTATGCTCGGTCTAGATCCTGATAGGTAAAGCGTGGCTTCTATATCAGAAATCAATAAGGTGTCTCCTGAGAAAACGCTTCAAAGCAGTATCAAAAAAGCCGTCGGATTGCTCCGACGGCGTGACTCTGCGGTAAGATTCATGCCACAGGTCCCCGCTTTAAGACGGGACATGCTGTCCAATTTTTGTTATGGGCGTTGTAGCTCGCAATGTAATGCCTTCCTCGTGAGAATTCACGCACACATGTGGAATACCGTTTTTGACCGTTAACTTCATTAATAAGGCAAGTCAAGCAGTTGAGGGGAAAATGTTTTTACGCAAAAGAAAGATGCAGCTCGTCGCGAAAATTGACGAAGACAGCATCATGTACCTTGTAATTCTATTACGCCGCATATACATTTTCAGATAAAAATGCTTTTACAAAAAAAAAGACAAACTCTTCTCCCTCAAGCTCGACATTTGCGTTCCTTTTCAAGTTGCTCAAAGCTACT